GCTTTAGCTGCTTCAGGAGGAAAATGGGGACCTTCAGATGAAACTGGAGGACAGTACTCCACGTCTACAACATGCTTGTACCCGTCCAAAGACCCGCGAGAGGGCTGCCAATGAAATTCAGAAATATTCAGATTGACACATAAAACACAACGGTAAAAAAACTCATCACTTGAATAACTCCATTTACTGATCATAATTTCCTTGGCCCTGTCAACTAATCACTAATTGTCACCGTAGAAGCACCAAACAATTGCCCTGTTTTAACTAGTAGGGAAAAAAAACATTCATTTAACAAGAGTGGCTTCGCCGCTGACCATTAAATAACTCAGTCATTTCAAGGAGAGAATGATCTGTCACCTTAAAAATTTCTGTCTCCCTCCTAATGGATGATGTGCGCCAACCAACCATATCTGTTTATTTTAAAGAAATTCATATACTGAAGAGAGGACTAAGGAGTTAAAAGTTAATAAATTCGTCAAAGTACGGTAAGAAAAAATGGATTATATGCAGTAGGATACGATCATAAGATACATTTGCATAGATAATCCGTGATTTGAATGACCCCAAAGCAGATCTGCATAATGAAACGTATTATAAATTTAGAACCACTACACAAGTTTGGCGAAAATGGGCTTGCCCGAAGTGATATAAAAGCTCTACTTACAAAAATTTCCCATCTTTGCAATCGGATGCCATTCTCAGAAGAAGTGGTGGTCTTTCAGGCTTACCATCGGTGAGAAACAATTGACTGCCAGTTCGACCAACAACAATAGGAGCGATTGGTGCAGCCAGCTTTTCTAAGAAAGGTACTCCTAATAAAAATGGAAGCTGCAGAAAACGAAAATCAAAATAATTCGAATATATTTCAAGGTAAGGTTGAAGTATATCCATATGCTGTATATCAGTCTGTTACAGCGATCTTAATTCATCATGCAACAGCAAAGAGTTGAAGACACGGTCAACAATTTACCATGCTCGCATTCAAAGTCTCAGTATTAGTACTAATAAATTTACAGTAAACCTTGACTTTCGCAAGAAGTGTGGCACATCGGTAGAGTCCAAACTGGCATCAATTAGTAGATATAATGAAATCAAGATGATATACAGACCTGCTTTTTCCCTCGCATCCCAAGATGTGGAGTTGCCAATGTTACAAAATTAATAGGCTCTAACCCAGCAATCTTTCCTTGTCTCAAAGAGTATGCCGTTTGTGAATTTGCAGTAGTTGAACTGGCACTATCGTTGTAAAGGACAGAAATTGCATATCTTGCAAATAAACCCCCTAGAGAATGGGCTAAAAATGAGATCTTCTTTAGGCTCTCTGTCTTTTGTACAAGTTGCATAACCTATTTATCATGAATGCCAAGGTTATGCAACTTTATTTCGCTATTTCCGACCAAACTTAAAGCACAAAACTTTTAAACAGTGGCTCATAAACTTCAAAACTCACTTCATCTGCTAATCGTTTCCCAGCTCCATCAATACCAGAAAAAGTTTTGGTGTACGTGTTACACGAACTTGCTGCAAATACATTAACCACGATGTTAACACTCACAGACTAACAGCCTACATCGAATTCATGCACTTCAGAAACAGGGAAATCAACTGTATTCTGATTTGTGAAGTATACTATAGTCATCAGTCACATCTTAGTGACCCTCAACCCTCATCGGTCTTCCTAGTCTGACAACTGTCAACAAACACCAAGCAACTATCTTTTGAGTGGTACTATACCACTCTGTTACTTATTGTTCTTGGAAATTCTAAAATTCACATATTTGAATTAAAGTAAATAAGATAAATTTACCATAGATTAAGAAGTTTCTTCCTAGACGCCTTTTTAACTCTGCTTCCACGTATGTCCAGTCACTCGGGCTGCATTACTAAGAATCAGTCAACTCGATATCAATTTAGCGAAAAAAGTAGCCATAGGAATGCATCAAGGAGACAAAATTTCAAAAGCAATGAACCGCTGAAAGAGCTATTGGAAGCGTCTAACATGTGGAATCCGAAAACTGTAGTAAGTAGCACGAAAATGAACTCAAAGATAACCAATGTATCTAATACAAAACTAAGCACATTACGTAACCTTCTACCTAACTTTCCTTTATCATTTCCATTTGCTTGAAGAAAAGTAAAAAACACTTAACTTTTCCGTAAAGGCGTAAACTTTATGGAAAAAAAGAAGCAATTACAATGACAAGCAGAGATCAGGAACAAGATATACCTCGCCAAGATGCCGTGAACAAGGACAAGAAGATGATCGGGTTTATTCTCCGCATTTGCAACACCCCTGGAGGATCCAAAATTTCCCTGACTAGTCATAGCTTGAGCTCTAAGGCCTTGGTTTCTCCAACTACCACATATGCCTGCAATATCTATAAGAATTTTGACGGACGTGAGTTAGGTGTCAACACGGTTCAAATTCTCTATGTAATATACTAGATTAGTTTACAATATCGTCAAAAAATTCAAATAGGACGATACTAATCACAGTAGAAATTAATTCTAATATTATCGAATGCCGTTAATTCGAGGATAATTAAGCAAATATAACACCTTTGAACGAAAAATCTCAAAATTTCCCGGGAAAATTGGTAGAGAGAGAGAGAATTGATTACCGGAACCGAAGCTGAACGACGAAGAGGAGGAGGAGGTGCCTAAAGGTCCTTGGGAGTCGTTTCGCCGATTGCAGCTGAAACTCGGTAAGTGCCCTAAGCGCGGGTGAATCGGAGAAGGGGACGCCATGTGTGTGTGTGTATATATATAGACAGAGAGAGGAGGAGAGAGAGCGGGGGTCCTAATTTCTCGGTTGAATCAAAATGGAGGGAAGTCAGCATCGACGCCACAATGTGGTTATCATTGCTGTGACAAGAGATACGGGTACGCAAACGCCCATGTCTCTTTCTTCCTCCCTGTCTCGTTAGGCTCTTTTCCTCTTTTTTTTTGGGTAATAATCCCTAATTTAATTAATGAGTAAACTGCCGATTTGCGCTTTGAACTATCATCCAACTTTTTATTTCCCTCTTGAACTTTTTAATTGGAAAATTAAGGATTTAAACTAATTTTTTTGGCCGATTTGCCCCTGCTGTTAATTTTTCATTCATTCCATCCAAGATTATGTTAAATGGAAGCATGTACACAACATGTGTGGGAATTCGGTCGTTTCATTCTTTAAAATAATTGAAAACCTTATATTTCTAAAATATAAACCTATGCAAATATGTGTGAATCTATATCTTTTATGTCTAAAGGTCTAGTGAAGTGACGCTTTTATCCACAAATGAGAGTTACGTGGTTTGCTCATGATAAAAGTTAATGTTAATTTGGATGAAATCTATGAAAAACTAACGGTAGGGGGCAAATCGGCCAAAAAAATTAGATTAAGTCCTTAATTTTCCAATTAAAAAGTTTAGGAGAGAAATCGAAAGTTGAGTGATAGTTCAGAAGTCAAACTGGCAGTTTACTCTTTAATTAATTTATTAAGTTCTAAGCCAAACATAGTTTAGTTTAAGTAATTGTTCGGTAGTTTAAACTTTGGCTAAATAGCCAAAATGGTTCTTGGGATTTGCATAATTCATTACTTTGGTCCCTAACATTTCAAATCAGTCAAAGTGGTCCCTGAGATTGTCCATCATCCATCATTTTGGTCTTTCCGTTAAAAACTCCGTTAAGTGTCCATGAGCTCTTGGCCGAAAGTTTGGGCAATTTTCAAAGCTTCGTAACGCAATCGTTTCTTAACCAAATTTGATCCATAATATATCAAAATGAAGATAGGAAAGTGTAGAATAAGATTATAACTATTTGGAAGCCCAATGGTTGTCGGAGATAGCCGGAAAATAGCCTCAAAGTTGACTGGTCCGAGAGAAAACTGGAAAACTTGTCGGAAACTAGATAAACTTTAAACGTTCATAACTTATTCAATACTCAACGAAATCAAGTGATTCAAAAACGAAAAATCATACTTCTCGACGAGACAAAGAGAATGGTACCTTTTTAGATGGCTAACTTGTCGTGGTTTGCCATGGCTGTCCACGGCCACTTTCGACCAAACCACGGCAAGTTAGCCGTCGAAAAAGGTACCATTCTCTTCGTCTCGTGGAGAAGTACGATTCTAGTTTTTGAATCACTTGATTTCGTTTAGTATTGAAGAAGTTATGAACATTTAAAGTTTACCCAATTTTCGGCTAGTTTTCCAGTTTTTCTCGGACCAGTCAAATTTGAGGCTATTTTCTGGCTATCTCTGGCAACCATTGGGCTTCCAAATAGGTATAATCTTATTCTACACTTTCTTATCTTCATTTTGATATATTATGGGTCTAATTTGTTTAAGAAACGATTGAGTTACGAAGTTTTGAAAATTGCCCAAACTTCCGGCCAAGAGTTCCGGGACACTTAATGGAGTTTTTAACAGAATGACCAAAATGATTGATGATGGACAATCTCGGGGACCACTTTGATTGATTTGAAATGTTAGGGACCAAAGTGACGAGTTATGCAAATCTCATGGACCATTTTGGCTATTTACCCTTAAACTTTTGCTTTTGATATATTGTAGTTTTGTTTCTTGCATTTTCCTCATTGGAGTTTAATTCTGTTAGTTTAATCCTTTAATTGACACAATATTTCTTTCACAAGAAGATGTGTGCAAAAATAAACGAGATAATCAACTCATTAATTTTCTTCAATTCGTTCGATTCAATTACTGAAAATTAAGAATGATGTATTTTAAGTAAAAGTAGGTGTGTGGATAACGCTATTCTTTCTCTAATCTTTTACGTGCAGGCAGTGGACCTCCTTGTTTACGATCATCCAAAACATCTTTCTTTATTTACACAATTCATATATGTAGTTGTTCATGTCATGAGCCTAAAGTATTTCTTAAGCTTCATTTGTCATTGTGTTTACAGAGATTGGTGTATTTAGATTTTATCAATCAATTTGACACTTCTCTTGATCGTAACTCACAAATAGAGCGCGTGAGGCTAAAAAGAAAGGTGTTAGAACCAATAGCCTTTTGATATTATATAACATGTAAATCACACAAGGAAACCAGGAACCAAATATTACACAACTCTAATATGATATCCATGATTGTATCCTATTTACAAAGACAGTGAAGAAAACTTTCAAACTAAAGTTATGATCCAAACATCGTTGCCCACGACATGAACTGTAGATTGAGATGGGTCTCGTCATCACATACGAGACCTATGCAGCGATAACTCTGCATATAGTATACACACGCATAAGCTATGTACTGACATAAGCATATATATTCTTCAAACTGAAGGTGCCGCAAAAAAAAAGGGTCGCGGAACAACCAGAATATAAGGGACACCATGGAATTAATTTACATTATGGAACAAGCATGAGGGTTTTCATCACTGAACACAGCAGTGGCCTGCTCGTTAAACATGGTGGAATAAGGAGGAGGTTGATAGTAGCCGTGTTCCTGATTAGTGGAGCCATGCTTGTAGTAGTTGTATGAATAGGAGGAGGATTTAGGTACTGATTTGTAGGTAGTGATGGGAAGTTGGTAGGCAGTTATCCGACGGTCATGATGATGCTTATGACGATGATGATTGTGATGATGATCAAGCGGCTGATGTTGCTGGTAGTAGTCAAGACCAATGCTGTGGTATTGAGGGTTGTAAGGGTAAGGCCAAAGCTCAGCTCTCTTTCCAGTCTTCCTTACTGCCCTTAAAACCTTCTCTTGATCTGCCCATCCCATTACAGTCACCTTCTGCATGTTGAAGTCCACGTCAACAGCATCTACTCCTGCAGGGACATATATATAATTATATCAGAATCACAATAATAATTAATAAGAATAATAATAATAATAATTAGTTTGAATACTAATCATGTTGTTAATTAATTATACATAATTAACCAACCTGCTACTGGGAGTGGTTATCTGGGACCTTAGTTATAAGGAAAAAGTCTTGGTCTTGTTCTTTTGTTAATCTCTTTAATTAGTTTTAATTAATTTTATGTGACAATAACAGTAATACAGTTCATAACCGAGCCACAATTAGATATTTAAACTTTCGATGTGGGGCATTTTTTCACATCCTCACAATCTAGATATTTATGAGAGAAAAGGTTTCAATCAGACGTGACATTTAGAAAGCGAAAAAAAAGAAAAAAGGAATAACTTGCACAAAAGTATACCTTTCATTTTTTTTAGAGCACTCCTAATCTTGTTCTCGCAGCCAGCACAGTCCATGGTCACAATCATCTCTACGATCTGCACAAAACTAATAAACTTTAAAATTACAGTTCATGCAAGGAAACAAGATCAGGGTGAAACACAGCACACACATATATATTGATTTTTCTAATTAAAATGTGCGATCGATCGGTGAAGAATATGCTGAGCCATTCACTTGAAGAAAATCCATGCCATGCACATTGGAAACCCAGATAATTAATATATGTGGATCCTGTAAACGGTAACCCCCTAATACTGTCCTTACTTTACCACATGCTCAATCCGTCAGGTATGGAGTTTTATCACAAAAAGCATTGGTATTAGTTAGAGTGGGGAGATCCACACATCGGCAATCACGTGGAACCAAGTCGGGGCTCATCCATCACATGGGGCCAAACGAGGACCCACCCAATCACGTGACATCTTTGGCCTACGTGGAGCCATGTCGAGACTCACCCATCGTGCGGGGCCAAAGGGGACCCACCCAATCACATGGCAGTACAAGCTCATCTCCTAGCTCTGATACCATGTAAGATTTTTCAAGTCGATGGGCCGATGATCCATTCCAACAACACCAATACTTTCCCCACTTTAACACATGCCCAATCCGTCAGGTATGAAGTTTTATCACAAAAAACCTTAGTATTAGTTAAAGTAGAATAATCCTATATAAATTGCTTTTTCTCTTTCTCTCTGGCGGATGTGGGACAATAGAATTCCAACAAAACTTCAAAAATAAGCACATGTACAACTATATATATAGGCCAAGAGAGGTTTGATGGTAGGACCCTTCACCTTTAGGTTTGAGGGTACACGTTTTACGTTCTACATCCTACTTTGAAGCAAGGTTCCATAAAATGCTAGTCGCTAGTCTGACGACAGATTGGGGTCTAGTGCTTAGGCAGCTAAGCGGAGGTCTAAGCATACTAGGTGGATTTAAGTAAACTTATTATATATCGTATAAATAAGTGCATGTTTATATTTAAAAATTAAATACATAATTGTATTGAGATACAAAAATTGAAAAATAGAATGACATATAGATTAGAAATATCAAAACATATTATAAACATGGGGAACCATAATATAATGAGTGTTTATCCAAGTATTTAACAAGTTTCTTACAATTTATTTTTTTTAAAATGCAAAATCAAAGTTTCTATTTTTTGTCTAAGTGAGAGTCGCAAATTAAGCGGGTGCCTAGGCGGCTCTAGGCACCATTTCTTAATTTTCAAACGCTCAAATATTAATTTGAACTGTGGTCAGCCGTCTAGCGCCTAGAAGAGACCTAGGCAGCGCCATATGGGAACTTTTAGAACAGTGCTCAAAAGAGCTAAGATGGCATAGTCTTCTATTTCATTAAAAAAAAAAAAAAAGGTATAGCAGCATATGTCGCCATGCATGATGATAACTTAGACATGAAAACAGAATTGAAAGAGTGAGAAAAGGGTTAAGCCATGTGGCTTCCTCACCGTCATGTTGGAATATTGAGATATATAGATCTTTGATTTTCTTTGAGCCTCCCTCTCTCTGTCGATCTCTTTCGGAATGAGAAACTTAAATGCAATTGCACTCAATATATATAGCAAAGATTGCAGAGAAGACAGATTTTTTTTTATGAGTTCTTCAACGTTGCTGCCATGGCAAGATATATAAGTTAGAATATCTTACGAAAGCGAGTAGTCCCCACAACCATCTTTTCTTTTTGATTTTTCGTTTTCTTAATCTTGTTGGTTTGAGTGAAGTTGCAAAGCAAATGCTTAGAAGTTGAACTGCAGGCTGGCTTCGTCTGCTGATCTAATAAATTTATAGATTAATTAATCTCTTAATTATCTATTATTTATCAAGGACTAAACCGCGTTAGTCAAGTGTGTAAATGAAGTAACATGATTTTATTATATTTTTCGTTGCAATTATTAAGCCTTTTGGTCATCTGAATATAGTTGTCAACGCCATTTGCGATTGTCATCATCATGAAATCTTTTGGAATTGTCGTTCGTCATCATCTATATATCTATATCTAGTGGTTAAATATATACATGTATGTACATGACATATCAGCTTTGTGTAACTTTACATGTGCAAGTTGGGGAGTTGGTGTACTAATTAAGGTTCATCCAATTGCATTGGAGGGTATATGGTAGTGGATACTCAATTGGTATTGGATGTGGATATCCTTGTGACCGTCAGTCGTCGATGTATGTGAAACATCAACAACTTACATCACTCAAGCATACATAAAAGAATCGATCATTTTTTATTTATTAGGATGAGTACATGAAAAGAGACATGTTTCCTTGCAAATAAATCAGAATTTAACGTGTTTGTTTTTATTTACTTTTGTGATTTTGGTTAAACGCTTTGAATCCATATTGTTATTTACAATTTAAAGATATAATTTTCTTATGAACGGAACATGTAATGAGCCCATCATTGTTCCATAGAAGTTGAGACAATACATAAAAAGGAAAATTAATGAAAATGATAAGAAAACTTTGAGTTTTAACGATAAGGACAAAATAAATGGTAAAATGAATAGTATTAAGATTGCCTTTTTAGTGAAAAAAATGTGATTTTTCATTAAAATAAACAGTACCGTAAGTTTATCGTTAAAACTTCATAAATATATAACATCACTTTCTTATTACCGAAGAATAGAACTGACATCATATTAAATCATATCACGATTGGCATATTAATCGAACTGACGTCATAAAAAAGGGAGTGGAATTGACATGGTCTCCGGATTCGAAAAATAAAAAAACGGGAGTGGAATTGACTTGTTCTCCGTATTCACTCATCAAGGTATTTTCCCAGAAAAAGAGGCAGAGGGTGGAATTAATTAATTGTATTACTAAGTAATGTCATCTAAACCAATTTTTTATTAGGAAAACTAATGAAAAGGGTTTGAAAACTTTAAATTTTAATGATAAGGACAAAATAAAGGGTAAAATGAATAGTACCAGGATTGACTTTTTAGTGTAAAAATGTGGTTTTTCGTTAAAGTGAATAGTACCCGGTGCTTTTCGTTAAAGTTCCATTTTTTATTGTAAACTATGTGATATGCTATCAATAGGAACTAAGCATATTAATTAATATTAAATAATAATTCAATTATTAATAATCACGTTATATGATTTACAAAATTCAATCTAAATAATTAATCTCCTTAGCTTTACCTTTATGTTTGTAGGCCTAGTTGCTTCTTGTAGGATCATGGAGGGCTGGTTGAGACAGGTTGTAACCAATTATAATGGACTTGAATCTAGTCTTTTATTTGTTGTGTCAAAATATGAGGGGCATAACATGATATGATGGGTTATGAATCCATAATAAAGTTAGTTATCTAACATATCTTTATACATGAATTACAATCACATCTTACATGTCTCTACCAATTCCATCATAAGGACCAATCAAATCCAATCAACCAAACAGACATTAATTATTACAAATTCATGTGCACCTTGATCCATATATGATTCGGGGACTTTCAAGTGGACGACTCTTGTTACATTACAATTTAATTGGTGAAGCGACAATACGGCCTACGTGCGAAAGTTCCACAATGATATTATCCTACGAACTTTTCAAATAAATAAAATAAAATAAAATAAAAAGATTGCAGGTAGGATTTGAGCAAGGAAGGGAGATTTAAGGTGTTGTTTGGTGTTTTAGTATTGGTTTGATTGAATGAAGAAACGGATACTAATTTGTATATTGTCTAAATTGAACGGAGAAGATGAATTGATCTAAATAAAACTTATCATTTCCAATCCAATCATTATTAGTTGAACAATAAAAAAGCGAAAAATTAATGAAAAATACTTGAAAATTTTGAGTTTTAATCAAAATAACAAAAAACTGTTGTAAGTGAATAGTACCAGGAGTTGTGGAAATAAGGAGGAAAGCATTTTCTTCGTGACTAATCTATCTTCGTGGACATCCATTTCTTCATTCAACATTCATTAAATTTAGTGAGTCATTGATGCCAACCGGAAGCATGTGTATTTTCAGTGGGTAAACCGGAAATTAACGCTCTTACTAGTTGTGCGCGATTCTTTTCAAATCATATCAGCTCTGCATTGGGATTAATTTCAAATATTATGCTCTAATTGATCACTGGAGAATATTTACCCATATTTGTGTTAACTACATTGTACTGTTTGGGAATTGAAGAGAAAATCAAGAAGAAAGATGAAGAGAAGAAATATGAACACAGAGAGTTAGAGAGAGAAAGAGAGATTTAGGAAGAGAAATATGCTTTTGTATTAACTAATTGAATGAAGGTTACACAACTGTTTTTATAAGAGAAAGCCTAACTACTCTAACCAACTTACTAACTGTATTGCTGACTTGTATGCTTAATAATTTGGTCGCCGTGTTTGTTCTTTGTTGCGATTTCTCTTACAATTGGGTTGAAGAACCTTTTGCTTTTCAAGTTGTATTGCTTGAGCATAATAATTCTGATCGTTTCAATAATTTTAGAATGGTGCTATCCACACATCATATTTTACCTCTCACGTATTTTTTTTCAATTTCTGACCTTCAGATCAAATAAACAAGAATGAATGTGTGGATAACATCATCTTAATTTTATGTAGCTTTTTTAAGAAAGTCTCTAAATTTTAACTATCATCAACTGAATTTTTATTTCTCTAGTAGGAGACCACAATCAGAAGCCACATCAAAATACAGCCACTGATTTAGACAAAAACGACGGGGAAAAGAGAGGAGGAAACAGGCTTTCCCCAGTCAGAAAAATGAAGTTGTGAACTGATGAAATGGAGGCACCTACTGAACGTTACCAGTCGACACACATTACTGCCCGGCAGCGAATGCCTCGACCGGGAAAGTCTTGGTGATACCGGCAAGGCTCTTGAAGTTGATTTTTCTGGCGGGCTGATCAACAATTATTTCACTGACGGGAGGCCATAGCATGAGCTCCTTAGCCTTCACTCCCTTGAGCTTCTTAATCCTCTGCTTCTCAATATAGCCCTTGATTTCAGTGTCGTAACTCACAAGCTTACCGATCAACTTGAAGCTGTGCTCGACCTTCTTCTTCTGGACGATCCACATGTAGCCGGTGGTCCTCACAAAGCCAACTTCGACCACATCAGCAAGTGGCAAAAGCCCTAGCGGAAGTTCAAACTCCTTGAGCAAGGCGGTCGCCAATGCCAGTCCCTCCTCGTGGCCTTTCTTCACGATTCCTCCTTCCTTCTCCGCCATGATTAAAAAAAATTATTCTCTTAAAGTATACAATGAAGCAGTGAAGTTGTAAGTACTTTGGGTTAAAGAGGGTTGATTTATACAAGTTTGAAGGCCATTAGACTCCTAGTTTTAACCGACACAAATTTGAGATTACAAATATCGTAATTGTGTTTAGGTACAAAGCTTTAAGCATAAACAGGTGGAATTTTACTTTCCAAGCTGCACAGTATACCCATTGACAGGTTGCAGTTGTCTTCAACGAACAAGACGACTAGGAGACAACAAGAGCAGAAAAATTGGGAGATGACCACAACACACATAGTAGCTTCGGCGGTTGGCACCGTGGATCGTGGAATGATGATAAATTTTATGCCGGATTAGAGAGATTTTGGTGACTACTACAAAGAAATCGCCTTGGTTTCTCCATTCTGTTTGTCCTATGCATGTAGTAACTTGATATAAATTAACCCATTTACCACAAAGTGCCTACAACTTCACACTACTTCATTGGAACTTTAATAAAGATAGACAATAGTTTACACATGGCCGAGAAGGAAGGAGGAATCGTGAAGAAGGGCCACGAGGCGGGACTGGCATTGGCGACCGCCTTGCTCCAAGAGTTTGAACTTCCGCTAGGGCTTTTGCCTCTTGCTGATGTGGTCGAAGTTGGCTTTGTGAGGACCACCGGCTACATGTGGATCCTCCAGAAGAAGAAGGTTGAACACAGCTTCAAGTTGATCGGTAAGCTTGTGAGCTATGACACTGAAATCAAAGGCTATATTGAGAAGCAGAAGATTAAGAAGCTCAAGGGAGTTAAGGCTAAGGAGCTCATGCTATGGCCTCCGGTCAGTGAAATAAATGTGGATCAGGCCGCCGGAAAAATCAACTTCAAGAGCCTTGCCGGCATCACCAAGACTTTCCCCGTTGAGGCATTTGCTGCTGGCCAGTAAGCTCATGTTGACCACCAAGCAGGACAAGATCCCGTAGGTGCCTATATTTCATCAGCTTACAGCATAGGTCCTATTCGGGGAAGCCGATCTTTCTCCTTTTTCTATCCATTGCTTTGTCTTGATAACGTTTCGGATTGTTGTATCCTGCTACATGAATAAAAACTTAGATGATGATAGTTAACATTATATGAAGTGGGAAAATTTTCATGCTTTCTTCGAAATATTAAATTTCGAAACAGACAATTTCTTTTTCCTGTTGTATCTGGGAAGCAAGGATATGTCAAGCAGTAAAACGGGCATCAATCATCAAACGAACCATAACAAACAGTTTAAATCACCAGCCAAAAAGCAACAAATGAGGTTCCCGGAAGAAATACAAATTATCCTGTATTTATCCAAGAGTTTAAGACATTGAATTACAACGATCAGCCTTACTTATACAGCGGAACCTGCATTCCACTGATTCCATGGTTTCGTTCGACCATCTTCAATTTTCTCAGCTATTTAGCGATACCAGAAAACAGAAACTATACGCATCAAGACATCATTGCAGCAGAAAACAAAATATGCAGAAGTAAGCAAAGTTAAATTGTCAAGAAAAAGTAAACAGCTTTATATCTATCACTCCAGAAAGTTCGGGCAAATCATATTTATGACTAGTAGAGGTGCTGGCATGGCAGGAAAAATGTTCTAAACCATGACTCTGAGAAAATAAATTGCAGCAAAGAATACCCACTACTGTCATACTTCTCTGAAGAACAGCCTATATGGTATCGATTCGATCCTTATGACCAAAAAACGCTCGTTTATGAGCCTTTGAGACAATTTCCTTTCTTCATTAATAACAATTGAGACAAAGAATGAGGCCAAATTAAAGAACTAGTGCGTATATAAATATAGCCAACCTTCTGTTCAAAAAGAGGAAACAAAACTTTCACAACTCGTATGATTGTATCAGTTGTAAGATAAACAAAACTCAAGACAAAAATGTCGCTTCGATCATGGGGTTGCAGAGGCGTGCAGGCACATTCCAACCGTTTCAGTTCCAACATGCAGAAGCTCTCACGCAACCCCGGAGTTAAATACATATGGTTCCAGTAATACATCGTACCACCCCTTCTCGATTTCCTCCTCTTTTACTCTATGTAGGAGGAGGGTTTCAATAATTAAATCTTCCCAATCAATCCCACGTCCTCTCTTTCTTTTCTTCCTGGTATGTAACCTCTTCAGAAGTGCAAATATCGCTGCTGTTACCTGAACGAGCATTTGATGGACGCATGATCCCATCACTTTGCTGCTTGGCAGCATTCATCTTTTCTCTCCTCTTAATTGCCGCACAACCATTGACAAAAGACGGAGGCATAGCATCGGTCTAATCCTACATCTTTCTCCAGCATCTCCTTCAGTAGAAGCCTCTTGCTCAATTCCGACAGTCCATTCCACCACTCGGTACAAGTATGGAGCGCAAAACCTCGGCTCCATTTTGTTCCGCGAACCTCTTCAAACCCCTTAGAGGACTTGGCATCGTCAGCCTCATCCGAAAACTTTGAGTAAATCATTGGTAAGCATTCGTGTGAAACCTTCAACGCATCCATATCCTCCGCACCCACCATCTTCTACCTCAAAGTACCGAGACTCGTGTGAAAGCTTTAGCTTATCCGTTTCTGACTCAAAATCATCTTCAAAACAAACCATATCACTTCCATATCCACAATCATTCCTCATTCTCTAACATCTCCCAAATCCAACCAAATCCTTCTTCCCTCTCCACGGTATTGGTTGATCGTCGCGGATGAAGGTTTTTCAGGTTGGGGATTTGAGGCAGTGGTGGTGGAGGGTTCAGCGATGAAGAAGATTGTTGCCCTTGCACAACGGCGTTAGTTCGAACTCAGTCGGCTTCCCAATCTACATCTAAATTGTTAGCCAATTATACAGAGATTTTTTAATTTAAGAGACTAAATTTTTGTTGAGGTTAAAATTTCAACACGGTCCATTGCACAAAGAGTACAAGTGGTTGAAATTTTCTTTTTCAAGCATCCAATCACTTATATTATGAATTTAGTATCCCGGACCCTAGTCCTGTCATCCTGAAAAATCTCTCAATTTTGAGATGGCAGATGCAATTAAAAAGTGTAAAACCTTAAGGGCCCGTTTGTTTGACAGGATTAGGGAGGACTGGACTAGACTAGACTACAGTCCCTTGTTTGGTCTGCACCAGGATTAGGTTTAATGGGATTAGGTCGGACTCGCTAGGATTAAACCCCTCACTAGAGTTCTAAGCGAAGCACCCTGATCACCCCCGGACTTGTAAGACCTCCTGCGCTCCTGCGCTCCTGCGAGAGAGAACCTCGCTCAACCTCGATCCTCGACGTGCTCCCTCCTTGCCCTGCTCCCTCATCGTCGTCCTCCTCATCATCATCTCTGCGTCTTGCTCGCCCTTAACTCCATCCTGCTCGCCCTCATCTGGTAAACTTCGAATCCGACATTATTTCTTCGATTTTTTTTTGCAGATCGTGATATTACTAGGCTTTATTTGATTTAGGTGTTTTGAATTTGAGAAATTTTGAATTATAGACCTTTGCACTTGAACAAATTAGGTTTTTGATTTTTAGGATCAAATTGAGATTAGAATTTGGGGTTTTCACATTTTATGCCATTTTGAGTACCAAAATGATGATAATCATCACGAAATTGCTGCTGTAAACTTCGAACGCCACTGTTACTTTTTGGGTATGTTTCTGTCCTACTTTTACCCAGTTTGAATATGTATTCATAGTTGTCGGATTAAAACATATATGTAGTTTTTGGGAAGTGATGAGTAAAATGGCTAGAATTTTAGGAAGCTTTGTGCTTCTGGTTTTCATCAGATAGAGGGAACACGAAGAGGGAGAGGAAAAGAGAAAATATTAAGTTTAATTGTAATTTTAAATTTGTTTTTATAGTGTTAGTGGAGGAACCCATCTGTAGTATTTTAAGAGAAGATGAGAAGATGTAAACTGCTGGACATCCTTAGCATTTCCCATGTTCTTTATTAATTTGAGAGTGATCCTGTGAATAATTTTGGCTTTTAGATTTGTTTGAATATTTTTCTGATTCAACTTGCAGGTTTAGTATCATTTTACAGCTTTCTACAACTCTTTGTTCTTTCTCTCTTCCTTTATGGTTAGACAGCATCGAATATCTATCAGTAATCATGTCCAAACTGACTGCGTTCATACAACTTGTGCTGTTTAACTAATGAATATACTTTTGGAACTAATATGCCATGCCTAGATGATTGATGTGAGTATCTTGATGAATCTATCCACTAGATGATTGATGTGAGTATCTTAGATGAATCTATCCACCTTGGGAACTTGCAAGAGTTGAGTTCAAGATGTCCGGATGCTTTTTCATATATAACCAAGGTCTAAAACACAACCTTAACCTTATTCTTAAGAGGAGGTTTGTTTTTTGTATGTCACTAAGTTAACTACATAAATCCAAATCTCAAGACCAAAACAAATCATAGGATTACAGGATTTCTTCCAAATTAATGCCAACATATTGTTCAGCAACGGGGAGATTCTGGGGCCTTGCTTGACCAGCCACATTAGATAAATCTCAATACAATCTATGCATGCATGCTTAGTTGTAACCAGATTCTTACCAGGCCACTGATGGCGTAATTTCATTTGAAGATTACAATAAATGATATAAGATTTAAGGAATTCACAAAAGTCATGTGAAAATAAAAGGTGCTGGATTTCCCTTTGAAGGATATGAAATTACTTGATGTTAGAATTGAGGTTTTACAGTTAGTCAGAGGTTTACGATTAGATCTGTATAATGTGTTTTAGCATCCTTTTGTTGTTTGGCAAGCAGTTCACGTGCGTAGTTTCCGGTGTTTGTTTCATATTTAGAAGCTTGTTTGAGTTCGGTGTCTCTATTTTTTTGTCGAAGAGTTCGATGTCTGTATATCATGTAGAAAAGTGATTCCTTTTTTCTTTTGGATGTCTGACCTTGTAAACTTCCGAATCTATTTTTCCATATTCTTCTTATTGTTCTTCTATCCCTATCTAAAGCTTTATCCCCAAACTGTTTCTTCATTTGGACAGACCTATGTAACTGTTGGTAATAGATTTCTGATTTGTCTTTAGAATTGCATCCTAAGCGGTGGTTACAAGTTACGACTTCCCTGATTGACTTCATATGAACAAAGTCATGCGGAGTTTAACAATTTTTCGTATTGTATAATGCTTCACGTGGATGTATTAGTATACCGTCATGCGTTGGTATCATTCTCTAGTGTCATATTCTAACTAAAAGTAAATGATGTGGCCAATTGCATACTAGACATACCTCGGAACTGCTGGAATGACCTCCTTACAGCTTACAGGGGATGTGGAGGGAGAGTCCATGTTAGATACATTGTTAGTGATATGCATGCAGACTTCATCCAGACTGAATGTGACTGCTTAACCTCGGTTGCTTCCACCCTTCCACTTACACTTAGGTCAATGTGATTTCTCCCACTTACCATCGAATCGAATTGAAATTTTAATGCTTTATGCATGGATACTAGACAAAGGCATAAACAGTGGCACTGATGGATTTGCTATGCTCTTCACTTGAAATTGGTGTGCGTGATCTTCTAGCAATAACTTATGAGCAATTGGTATTTGTGAATAATTTTTGAATTGCAGATGGTTGTCATTTACTGATAGATAATCAAAAGAAGGGTGACATTTGACAGTCTATTTCCAATTTGGATGTCTAATTATCCATCACGGAACTGTCAAGGGGCACTTGGCTGATAACTTTCACAGTCCAAAGATGGTCTGCGCTGAAATGTCAACTGCTTAGCCTCTCTCTCCATCTGCTTCATTATGTTGTCCTCTTTGCCTGCATGTTTAACGTACAAGCAGAGTACAAACAATGGACTTTTAGAAAAGTTAACCCTTTCTTTAGCACATTAAGGCCTTGTTTAATTTGGTGGCATATTGGTTTGATGTCCGTGTGTGTGTGTCTATTCTGCACATTTGTTTGATGTCTGTGTGTGTGTGTGTATTTTGCACATTTGTGTGTGTGTGTGTGTGTATTTTGCACATTTGGTTAAACAGAGGTTTACGGTTATCTACTTGGTTTATAACCATGATATTACAATGTGAATGTTTTGTACTATGTGGGGTTGATGCTGAAATATTCTGTGGTTGTTGGTTGCAGAGAAGAGGAGCATAAACGGAAGGCTAAGGCCTAAGGCTACTGGATTTTGTAAATTATGGAGATCTACTTTGGAATGCTATACTATAGTTCACTGGCATTTTGTAAAATATCCTGGATGAAAGTTTAGTGAATGATGTTTTAAGAGTCAATCAATGGCAAAGATTGACTTGTCACAAGTATCTTCTTATGTACTTGTATTTGTTGAAGTTGCATGTATTGGGCACTATTCTTTTTCTTATTTTGGGTGATAGAGTTTAAATCAAGTTACATTTGCAAATTAAACTCAACTATTTATAAATAGTATGTCCCAACTATAGTATGTCCCAATTCTATTAGCAGGTAATAGAAACAAAACAATTGTCCTCTTTTTTTAAGATTCATAATATACATGGCAAAAATATGCTCCAATTAACTCATATCATGAGATTTGTAGCATTACTCTATTACACAATGGCAAAAATTTGTAGTCCTACTCTAAGCAAACACAAATCTGGTGAACAATACTGTTTTATTATCCTGCTTCTTAGTCCGACACTGCACCAAACGCTTCACTAAGTTAGTCCAGCTTAATCTAGTCTAAGCCAGTGCAGCTTAGTTCCTGCAGCTAGTCCAGTCCGAGACAATCCGACGCAACAAACGCACCCTAAGTGTTCGATAACCAAAGCCAGATGATGAAAAAGAAGAGAAACTCTTAAGGTTTAATTAAAATTTAATGTCATCTTTGTCTTATCACATAATTGCTTGCAGTAGTTCAAAATGTTACAAATAGATGATGACCTACAACATATAATGAAGATTACAATTCCAAGTTACTCCCACATAAACATTTGGGATTCCGGCAACATCTATCCCGATCCAAGCTTTCACGAGGATGCGTAAGCCAACTCCGAACTCATTTGTAAGCAGCCGAGAAACGCGTAAGCCTGCGTCATGGTATAGACAACACAAGAGCCAACAGAAACCACAAGGCAAGGCATAATATGTATAATACATCAAAACGGTTTCTTCAAACATCAACCAGTCTCAAAGCACACAGAGAGAAAACAAACGTTTGTGTATACAGGACACTGCAACATTTCGACCAGGGGAGAATTTAACAACCCTCTCGTTTCCAATTGATGGTGGGTAATGAACACCCCAAAAAATGGAAGGAAAACCATGTCAAGAATCTTTCCTTTATGCTTCCTTTGAAATGAGCGTAAAGGGAGAGCACTCGACAAGAATTTTTTAAAGGAAGATAGAATGATACGTTCCCTTAAAAGCAGATGGTATCAACTCTTTACACATAAACAAGTATGAAAAGACCACAACTTGCTCCGTCATGTATGGTATACAATAAAGGGTGACCATAACCTAAAAATGAAAGATGCTCGTAACTAAATGCTGCCACCGGCTTCTCTAAGAAAAGAGACCTTGAAATGATGTGGCAGGTTGTTTAAAAGTTCGCTTTTAAAACATTAACTAACTGAAATAAACAGTAGCAGACATAACACATAAAATGTATCCCCTTTTTGTTATATTGAGAAGATACATTTCTTATCTGAGATTGTAGGTTCAACTCCCTTTTTACAATGACAAAGGTGTCCATGAACGTGATGAAAACAGTTTCAGGATCTTCACCTATAGGTTTAAAACAGATACGAAAAAAAAGACAGTAAACTCCCAAGTTTGTAAGATACAATATATTCTGTTCCAATTGGCCTGCTCAGAACTCAATTAATACAAACCATAAAGTCAATGACGCCATCGACCATTTTACTCTCTCAAACACTAAGTCGAGACAAAGAAATAAATCAAAGTATGGACTCAATAGAAAACAAAGGTTTCTAATTTATATAGCTAGGCAGTTAAAAAGTGGCCAGAGTGAAAAAACAGCTACAACTTACTGATTTCCCTCAAAAAAATAAACATTTGATACTCCAAAACAAGCGAGAGGCAACAATTATTTATATCATGATCGCAAGTAGAAGGTTTCATGATCCACATACAAAGGTAAAGCCACGTATGATCACATAAAGAAAAAAAACTATCAGCATTATAGCATTAACAAATGACAAATTTACAAACAAAGGGCAAGTTTTGTCATCAACTCAACAAAGAAGGAAATCCCTATTTCAGCACACAATTTATAGGAAAAGGTTATATCCTTTTAAGTAAGTTCTACATGTAGATCAACACCGATCAGAAAACAAAGCACAGCTCATAGAAGCAGATGAAGTGAACCAGCAACAGAATCACAGCAGTCCATATAATCTATCCAAAGATTTCATTGTCTGCATTCATGGAATCACGATAACCATTTAAAGCAATTGCGCCCAAGAAGCTTCTCAAGGACCTGAACCAAATACCCATTTAACACTAAAACAAATCAAATCTAAACCAATCGAAAAGCTTCTGCAATAAAAAGCAACTACACGCATAGCAGACATGATGATATTGACTCAGGCAGCAACGAACAACATACAGCTAAAACAAAAAGGAGAAAAAATAAAAACAAGACCTTGTCCATTTTCCACTCAAGTTTGGCACTTCACAAACATACATCATCATGACGCTTCTGCTATAGCAACTTAAACTCCTAAGTCTGTATATTAGCATGTATAGACATGTGTGTATTCCAAAAACAGAAACATGAATACAAAGATTACCTGTCAGTAGTAAGGCGGCATGCCCTGGTACAGTCCACCAGGCGGAATTCGAGGCATAGGAGGCTGTTGATGCTGAGAAGGATGCGCCATGGACGATCCTAAACCATAATGTGGATCATCTGAGTATCCTCCAGGACCCATTCCAATAGAACTTGGCGGCAATCGAGCTCCAAATTCTCCTGGCGGTGGCATACCATATCCACCTCCCAAATTCGGATTATACCTGGCACCACTAAAATTATTACCAGAAGGCACCGGCAGCGGCTGATGCCCACCTGGAAAACCCGAATAAGGACCTGTCTGAGGCGGCAGGCCCTGATACATTCCCGGAGGCATGGAAGATTGCGGTGGCCGAACACCAGAATTATCAGGAGTACCTTGTTGTGCCCCACCGGGTTTGCTCTTCTTGTTATCTACCGCCAATTTGCAAGCCACCTGATGACCGTCGATGTTCTTCAACGGTTCAACAAGCGCAGCCCTGGCTCCCTGCTCCGCCTTGTACACAAAAAAAGCAAACCCCTTTGATTTTCCGGTGACCTTATCAAACCCTAGCGGCCCTTCCTCAATCTCTCCATACGCCGAGAAAGCCGACAACAGTCTGTCCGAAGAGATATCAAACGGGACGCTCCCCACGTAAATCTTCCTGGCCGAGACGTCAGCGGCGTTGGGGTTGCTGCTGTTAAACGACGTCGCTAATCCGGCGGAGGCGAACTGCGTGACGGTGACTCTGCCGTCGATTTTCTTGCTCGGTTCTTTAAGGGACAGGAGGGCCGAGTCGGCGTGCTTGAACGTGACGAAGCCGTAGCCTTTTGATTTTCCAGTGGCCTTGTCGTGGATGACGATGGCCTCGTCGAGCTCGCCGAAGGCGGAGAAGAGGGAGCGGAGGGAGTCGGAGGTGGTGTCGGCGCCGAGGCCACGGATGAAGAGCTTCCGGAGGGTGGAGTCCTGGTCGGCGACGGAGCGGACGGATTCGAGTACGTCGGGGTGGCGAACGACGGCGTTTTGGAGGATGCCGATGAGTTGGTCCTGAGTCAGGGGCTGGAGGAGCCTCCGGGCGTCTTCGGGAGTTAGATAGGCGGATTGGGAAGGTGGAGAAGTCGAAGCGGTGCCGTTTGGCTCGGTTTTGCGCTTCTTTGAGAAGTCCATGGTGGTCGTTTGGGATTTTGGGGGATGCAGTCTGCTGCGTATGGACTGTATAAACCCTAGCCAGGGAGAGAGATTCGTAATCCTCCCGGGGCGAATTGTACGACTTTGTAATTGATGTCGTTCAATTCTGCCTCAGGACGTTGGGCGGCCTATTATGATGGGCCTCACTCGGATGCGATCCGGTTGGCCCAATACCTTGTATCAACCCTAACGTTTTGTTTTCTTTTTAAAAGAATGGGTCTTATAGCCCAAACAAGTTAAGCAAAAATAAGTCCAAGTCTGGACATCACAAGCCGATCTTCATGAACAAAATTATTCGAACGAGGAGGAGGATTATCAAAATAGTGATTTCCTAGGTCTAGAGAAAGACTATTTTCTTAGAGCAATCTTTAAAATCACGAGCCACGGATTCAAAACCACAAGTACACCTTTGACACCCTACATTACCCTTCTTGAACCTTTGATCGTTAGTGAGAAGTCTATCAAGAGAGAGTAGCCGTAGAAAACTCTGAACTTTTGGAGGAATGTGGAGTTTCCATATGAGGTTCCATCACCAAGAAGGAGCCTCAATAAAATTAATGGCCAAGGTGTAAGCAGATTTAACATAAGAGAATTATACGATTTTCTTTTCACTCAAAGAAAGGCACGCCTTAGCACATTGAAACAAAGGAATAAAAGAAAAACTAGTGACTACATTCCTTTGTGTCATGCAAGGGTTCAAAAGCTATGTGCACAACATGCAGATTCTTTTTGTTCATTTATTCCCCCTCGAGAAAATGTCCTAGTTGTTCATGAGCAGTGAGCAACTAAGAGTTTCTCTCGACGAAATACGAGATTCTGCTTCTGGCCGCTATGCGTTTGAAACTCGAGGAGGAAGTGTGTTAAGAATGGTGCGTGTATCTCCATTTAGTAAGGCAAGCTTTTAGAGCTTGTGCTGATGATCAAAGCCTTGAGGTTGGATGAGTCCCCAGGAGCACTAGCCCTCCTTGTGATCATTTCCATATTCTTGTACAAACTTTGTTTCACCAAATTGTTCATCACTTTCTTCCCTTGTTGTGCCTCCCTTTGATTTAAAGGTGAACCAATTGCAACCCTAGCTGTCTGGGGCCCTGAGTGAGGCCCCATCTTTGCTTGCCTCTCATCCTTGAACCATTGCAAAAGTTTTAGTGCTCTCTTTTGAGCAAGAGAGCTTCCCAACAATGCCACCTCAAGAAGTATGGGCACAATTCCTGACTTGGCCATTTTCTCCCTTTGATCTGCGCTTTGGTGAGCTAAAATCATTAGGATGTAGCAAGATAGCTCCTGGCATTTGGGCTTCTCATCCCATGTCAAAATCTCTATCAAGCTCCCGGGCACCGCCGCGCTATTCTCCATGGCCTTTTTCCCCATTAGGGTCACTACCAAGTTCCCCAGCGTCGCAAGTGCTTTTTCAGAAAGCGCTTCGGTCGTTGATAGCTTCAGGAGCACCTCGACCACCCCGTTAGAGACCAAAGTGGCTGCACTGTCCAGCATTGTGGAGAGGTTGAACAAAGCTCCCAAGCATGGCTCTTTGGTTTCCATGGTTGAAGTGCTTGACTCAATAATGACAACAAGAAATGGGACAATTTCTGATGAGGACAGAGGGAACTGGGTATTTGCAAGTGAGGACAACAACAAGAGCAACTCTGCAAATTGGTGCCTTGTTGGCTCGTCAAGAATGTTGATGTCGTTTTGTAGCTTTGAGAAGATTCCTGCCCCCACCATGAGAGCCTTGTTCCTGAAAGAAATTAAGAACATGCAGGAAATTAGATCACATAAGCTCAAAATATCTCAAACTTATTCTGTGTGCATAATGATGACAAGAAGAATAACTATATAGTTCGAGTCAAATAATGGTGTTGAAATCTGACCAGTTGATAAATTAAAAATATATATTTTATACAATTTATAAGCACACCAAACAAAATAAAAATTATGTTGCCGATACAGAGAAAATTAACATTGCATATGCACAAGAGCATATTCTAATGTTTGGTTTGGTGCTTGAGAGAAAAGCCCCATGAGACCGGCTTTACAGAAGAACTTATCCTATGCAAAGATGATGCATATAAAGGGTGACCCCAAGCCAACAAGACTCTCCGCTTTGACAAAGATGGCGCACATGATTAAAGTTAAAAATAAATAAAGGATTTGAGAAGAGTGATCTCAAGTCCATGAGATTCTAAAGTATTTAAATCTTTGTTTTGGTGTGAAGGTCAACAAAATGGGGGTTTTTATTGTCCAAAAATCAAATAGGATCTGAACAACTAACCCTAAAAATTCCTACAAACCCTAAAAAAAAATCATCACGTTTGAAAAACAGGTTCATGTTAGCTTCCATTATATTGTTCCTCCCTCCAACTCTTCCAACCACTATTTATTTTAAGTTGGTCGACAGCCACCGCAGCCTGCGGCCGGCCTCCTCTGATTCAATGGCAGGTTGTCTAATTATGTTTGATATATTTCAAATAATGCAGCAAACCCATGAAATAAATTAATAGTTAAATCTCATTAACCCTTTTTTAAAAACTAATTAATTAAGTTGCATTATGCAAAAATGTGCCAAGTTATTGGGAAAGTTCATTGAACAATAACTGCAACCACTGAGATGACATATCTATACAGGGTGGAGCTCGAACTTATATGCTACGGTACATTGTGGTGTTTAGTATCAATAATACAACATTTGTGTAAAATTTAAATATATCTGTGTCTCCAAGATGAAACACTATGATAGCACTATAGTATATTTGTACCGTATAAGTTCTTCTCTATCAATTTAAGTTGATTGAGCAATCGCAACCATTCAAATATACTACTTTTTGTTGTTCTATATTCTTGCATCTGCCCACTAAACGACTAAACCCTACCCTACCATTAAAATGCCATTGCCTTTTAACAAGATGGCTGTTTTATGTCACAATCATCACTTGAGTTGGGCAAAGATTCAAATGAAAATTTAACACACTTAATTCTACTTTTGGAAAATGGAGTCATCTTTCCTTCGATAATTTACATTCTTAATTGTCCTAAAGACGACAAATTTTTTAGCATGCTGAAAACACGGTCCAATACACTAAATGTTGTAATACAATCGTTAGATATTTGCAAAAATAAAGTAAAAAATTAAACCACTTATATTATAATACTTAGCGTACCGGACCATATTCCCATTCTACTGAAAAATCTCCCCTAAAAGACAATCACTTAACTGTATATTAAAGTCAAATGTGGCCACTCGAACTTAATAAACAATAATTTAGTTGTAAGAGACTCGGAATTCAAAAAATTAATATAGTTCACTCTGCCTATAGTCTTGTATTCGATTTTCTATTCATTTAATATTATACATTTATATATAAGCAAAACAACCTGACGTTATAATCCGTGTTCAATGAAATATATATTACACACATATATTAATATTTTCCTAGCATGCCATGCGAGACTCAAAATCACAAAACATTCAAATAAAAAAGAACGCATTATTTATCATAAATTAGCTCGGTTATTAAAAATAAACTCTTATCCAAGAATGAAAATTTAAATGCTCTTAAGCAAAATATAAGAGATAAAATGGAAGCTTACGTGTAAGTTCCATTAGCAAGCTCAATCAAGGCGAAAACTGCCACTCGCCGGCGAGCAACCACCTCGGACGCCGCCATGGACACCAAAACCGGTATAATACCTAGCCCGCCCACCAGCTTCCTCACCTTGACATCTTCCTTAGCCAACATACCAATCTCCAGAGCCGCCAACTCCTTCTCTTCCCAACTAATTCCGAAGTGAAGCTTCTTCACTGCCCTTTGCAATCCCATCACAGAATCATCATGGTCACCACCACTCACCTTCTCCATAACGACTTGCCGTACCATTACTTCGTTACTATTGCTTACAACTTTGGAGGGTCTTGATGACGTGTCGAAGTGATCTGACGGCGTAGGGCGCTTGCGGGCGTTTTTGGAGCGTAGGAACCGTCGGATACGGTTGATAAACCTAAGCTTTAGGTAAGAATATACCCAAAGAGAAGAAGAAGAAGAGGAAGCAGGTGTAGAGTTTGAATCAGACATGTTTGGTTGAAAACTTGAGAGAGAGAGAGAGAGAGAGAGAGAGAGAGAGAGAGAGAGAGAGGGTTGAGAAACTGTGTAGGGTTTTTGTATCCTTATACAAATTTTTATGGGAGTCTGACTTTAAGAGAGAAAGGTGTTGGTGGTTTTATGGAATCAGAGGGACAAAGAAGAAGGACGACTTTAGAAAGAGGAAAGAAACTGAAGGGAGCACAAAGCACATGCAGAGGGAACAGTATGCTGAGTATTGGGACTCACAAACCATGACAGATATTTAAATGAAATATTTGTGTATAATATATGATCTTCAACATTGGTATTATATTTCAGACCGTATTCCTATAATGCCCATGTCGAATTTTTCAAATTACAAGAATGTTATTCTGGTCCGAACGTAAGGAGGGTTTAATACTCCTCGTCTTGAAAATATTAGTTCTCTTTGTAAACACGGAAAATTCCTGAAACGAATGAGACAAGAACACGTGTACAAAATAATATTTGTATTAATGATTTAGGGGTTACAATCTCTTCTACGAATTTGGCCTCTGATTCTATCTTTGAAACGCGTAGAGGTAGTGTTGCTGATCCAGGGGCCGTCGAGGCTTGATCTTGGACGAACAGTTGATGAGTGATGAACACCTTCTTCAAGGGCCGTCGGGGCTTGATCTTGAATGAGTGGAAGTTCTCCAAGGGGCGTTGGGGCTTGATCTTGAAGGAGGATTTCACGAAGAACGAAGAGGGCTTTCTTGATCCTTCGGGATTTGCTTGAGAGCTTCTAAGTTTCGAGGCTTCAAGGCTTTGGTGTGGTGTGACTTCTCTTCCAATTTGGGAGTAGAGAAAGTGTATGTAAAAATCCTCTTTTGATTCTTTGATGGAGGAGCCTATTTATAGGCTTTGGGAATGAACCACCACCATCCATTTATTTTGGTGGATGTTGTAGGTGAATTGGTGGATTGTTGTAGGTGAATTTGGGTGGAGGTTGTAGGTGAATTTGGATGGATTGTTGTAGGTGAATTTGGGTGGAGGTTGTAGGTGAATTTGGATGGATTGTTGTAGGTGAATTTGGGTGTATGTTGTAGGTGAATTTGGGTGGAGGTTGTAGGTGAATTTGGGTGGATTGTTGTAGGTGAATTTGGGTGTATGTTGTAGGTGAATTTTGGGTGGAGGTTGTAGGTGAATTTGGGTGGATTGTTGTAGTTTTAATGCAATGGTCAACATTTATTTCACTAAAATTTCAATGTTTACAAATGTAATTTTAATGCGATGGCTAACATTTATTTCAACGAAATTTCAATGTCTACAAATGCCCCCACTTCAAGGCGCATAGTATACATGTGCTTGTCACGTGTAGAAGATGCGTTTTGAAGTCCCTTAATGTAGATGTCGATCCAAGGGCCGTTGAGGCTTGATCTTGAACAGGTCTGGGAGTTTCTTCAAGTGCCGTTAAGGCTTGTTCTTGAATTTTGTTTGAAATTTCTTCAAGGGCCGTTGAGGCTTGATCTTGGATGAAATTGGACCACAAGGAGCTTCACGTAGTAGACGATCCTTGGCTTTGATAATGGATGAATCAGCACGTATTTTGTTGTGCTTGTTGACTTTCCACAGCTTTGATCTTGAACTAGGCTGGAGGAGTTTTCTGGTTTCCTCCAAAGGACTTTCCACAGACTTAATCTTGAACTGGATTTGACTCAAGGGTGGTGGACACTTGATCTTGAGTCAGGGTCGTTGAGGCTTGATTTCGAACTTAAACATGACCACGAGCAGTTTCAGGACATGCATGCTTTGAAAGATCAAGGAAGTTCGCAGCATTTTCATATGAACCCTGAGCAGTTTGGTCAACAGTATGATCTTCAAGATTGATGGGCTCTTCTTCCAGTTGGTGACTTAATCTTTAAGGATTATCGAGGCTTTGCTCTTCGGTGACTGTACCGGCGAAGGTTTGTTAAAGCTTCTCGAGCATTTTGGTTAGAGCAACGGTGTCTAGCTTGGATCTTTACTTGAACTCCTCCGTCTGGATTATGTGGTCATGCAGGGAAGGGCTTCGTGCTTCATGATTTGTTCCAGCTTGTTGTGTTGCATTCTTCTCTGCTTATTTCTTTTGCATGGCTGAAGCGATGTGCAACCTTTTGCCTTTAAATGGTTCCTCGGAGCACCACCTCTCAGCGACTCACTCATGCTTGGCAACTTCAGTGCAAAGAGCCGATGTCAACAGATCCACACTCTTGAAGCATTTGCTGAGGGAATTCGAGACATATTAGCAGTTGAAGATGAGCACTCGAGAGCAACGCTAGGTAAGTAACCAGGCAAAGGTTCCGGGCAATCAGTTCCTGGTCGGACATTTAATTTCAGGTTCCGACTGATTGCTTCCTTTCCCCTTGTTCTGCAGGCAAGAGCAAGGGCAGATGAGAAGATAGGGGAAGAGCATGATATGAGATACCTTTGCTTTCGACCCCAGTGATATGAGATACTTTTGCTTTTGAAGAAGTAGCGGACGATCAGCACATGCATTCGTCGCGCCTGTCTCCATATGCTTCGATGCATCATCTTCATCTGCATCATCTTCACCTGCATCATCTGTTTTCCAGGCAGACGTGGTAGACGAAGAGGAAGCAGAAGATGTTGACGATGCGTATTCGAGAGCACGGCTAGGTGAGCAATCAGGAAAGGTTCCAAGCAGTCGGTTCCTTACCAGGAGCTTGAGTGGAGGTTCCGACATATTGCTTTCTTTATCCTTGTCTTCGTAGTGAAGAGGGAGGACAAAGAAAAGGATAGGGAGAAAGCATGCTATGAGATACTCTTGCTCTCAACCCCAGTGATATGAGATACCTTTACTCTGGTGTGGCTTGGTTGAAGAGGCGCTTCCAGGGAGGAAGAAAACTGAATTTTGGTTGCAGATGCCCTTGGCGAGGAAGAAAGGTCAGGCTGGATGCGTTTTCAGGGAGGAAGAAAACTGAGTTTTGGGTTGCAAATGTCTTCGGCAAGGAAGAAAGGTCAGGTTGGATGTGTTTTCAGGGAGGAAGAAAACTGAGTTTTGGTTGCAGATGCCTTCGGCAAGGAAGATGAGTCAAGCTAGATGTGTGTCTTGCTATAAGATGGAGGTCGAATTATATGGTGAGCTCTCAACATCAAGTGGTAGGGTGAGCGTGGCCTTGTCACCCACGCTTGTCGGCAGAAGTGCGGTAGTTGGTGTAATGGACCTCACACGTTTTCAACTTTATCAGTGATATCTGACAAAGTTGCACGTGATAGCCGAAAGCTGAGATTGTGTCTGAGAAGTGTCGACGGACTTTACGCAGAAAAATCCGGGTTTTGAAATTCGGGGAGTGGTGTTTCTTCGATTTACGAACGAATGGTTGTGCTGCCTCTCCTTTTAAAGAGGTGTCAATTGTATTCAACACGCACAATTTGAAGATTGTCTGTCCGTGAAAAATTACCTCTGCTACTCTTTACTGCATCCAACCTTTTTCTTTTAGTATTTTTGAAAATGACTTCCCCTTTTAACATTTGCTTAGATTTGAGTCTTAGCAGCGACACAGGTGCACCGCGTCAGGGTAATGTATAGCGCCCGTCTTTTTTTTCTTCTAATGGCCCTCTTACAGTTGAAGACTCTGTGATGAGGGATGCAACAACGGCTACGGTTGTAGCTAGAAACCTCCTCACTCCTAAAGATAATAGGATACTTTCACGACGGTCCGACGAGTTAGCTGTTCAAGAGTCCCAGGCTCTCAGTGTCCAGTGTGCGAACTCTGTTTCCAACATGGGCCAACGCTTACTTGCTCGAACTCGCCAGGTTGAATCATTGACAACTGAGGTGGCAGCTCTTAGTCAAGAGATTAGGCAGCTCAAGCGTGAGAATAGAGAGTTGCATGTGCTTGCAAATAATTATTCGACGAGCATGAAGAGGAAGCTTGATCAGCTGACGGACTCCGAAGATCGAATTCAAAGTGACCATCGGAAGTTTGTGGATGTATTCCAGAGGCACTTTTTGCCTTCGTCATCTGGAGTTCGACCAAGTATTGAGGCTCCGAATAAGCTATCTTCGGTGCCTCCTTCCTTTAGGGTTCCACCGAGTACCAAGGCTCCAAGTACTGAGGCTTCACACAAGTGACATTCGTGAAGGCTTTTTTTTTTTTTTTTTTTTTTTTTTTTTTTTTTTTGGTGTAATTTCTCGGAGATATTAATGGACATGTCTTATTTTATTCAGTATGTTGTGTTGAAACGCAAATAAAACGCATATCTGACTAAGATGCATTACTTCCCTATGCACCCACCTCCTTTTAGATGGTGACTAGTGCACCCATTTTCTTTTTAGATGGTGACTGGAAGCATCATTTTGTCATCACCACCCATTTCCTTTTCCATTATTGACTTGCGAATAGTAATACACACTCGTGAGTGGCTTGACGATAGCACAGTTGGTTTTTTTGGTGGCATTCCTCACTGCATTGCGTTTCTTCTCGCATGCGGACCATCTTTTCACTTGCACAATCACCTTATCACAATCTTCATTGCATGCGGATTGCTTTTTACACAGTCATTGCATCGCATGCGGATCACTGTTTGCACAGTCACTGCACTACATGCAGACCGGTTTTATTTGCAGCCTGTTGAGACCAATATATATATACACACGCGCATTCATACACACATGCATACATACATAGGGCATTGCGTAGTCTTTACATAGACACTGCACTAGCTTACTGCCCTGAATCTTAACTGCACCGTCCTGTTTCTTTGCTGCGACGTGCTCTTCTCGTCTGCCGTGTGGTGAGCTCGGTGTTGGATAAAAAGTGGTGCAGCTTCTTCAACCCCATCGCCCTGCAGTCGGTCACGTCGATGTTCATCGTGTTCATCCGAAGTCTTCACTGCGGCAAAGGAAAAGCTCACCATTATCAAAATTAGGGCAGCAACAACAAACTTCATTATCCTGCAAGCTTCAGGGAGAGTTGCAAAGAGCATGAGGACGGAAGGATGAAGGACTGCAGCATGGTTGCTACAACCGCTTGGGCTTCCGTTTATCGTCCTCTCGATGGCGCTGCAAATGTTTCCACCAATGGAGAAGATGAATGAGGGCGCTGCCTTCACTCTGTGAGGTATGTTTTATTGCTGAGGACGGTTTGCCGCATATATAAATATATATATATTTTTTATTTTTATATAGTGCTCTGTCAGGCTGAGGTTGCTAAACCGGCGAAGAACCTAGGAAGGCATCAAAAGTCTGCTCTGCTTGACTCGGTCAGAGAAAGTGAATGCGAGTGTAGGTTCGAATGACAAGGCCGAGTTGCTTTCCCCGTCTTCAACCGCTGCAACTTCATTCTTGTTGCTACAGGTTCGTCTTTGCTGTGGCTTGGAGAGAGAGACGTCGCTGCATAGGAGAGAGAGACGTCGCTGCATAGGAGAGAGAGAGAAACACCACATCTGGATTCAGATTTTGTGCATCTGCGGGTCTTCCTTTCGTTTGTGGGTGATTGTGCAACTTTTATGAGAGGAAGAAGAAGAGTCAACGGAAAAGAAGGTGTTTGCAGACGAGGTCGCGTGGCTGACTTGGAGGTCCACTTGTTTCGGGTGTGCGCACCATGTGTTGCAGGTGGGGTTTTGCTGTGCAATGCCTTTTGGTCACAGTTTTCCCTTGGTGGTGACGTTGGCGTAGTGCTCACCTTTGTAATATGGCTTTGTAACCAAATCATTTCTTTAAAGAAATAAAATATTCATATCTTGAATTTGCTATTTATTCTTCAAAGTGTTTGTGTTTTTGTTGGTGATGTGACTGTACTTGATGTTTTGAAGTTTCAAGTTGCCTACGTACCCTCGGTTGATGAGGGATCAAGTCATAACGTAGTTCAAATGAGCGATGATTTTTTTTTTTTTTTTTTTTTAAATTTTTTTATAGTGATTTTGATGATGATTTCGCCGTACACAGTTTATGCTCTTGCGGGCCAGGAGCTTTGTGCCGTAGCCTTTAGGGGTAGTAACGCTTCAAGAATCTGCCATTGATGGGACCGATCTTCAAGCCGTCTTCTGCCATGATTAAGTAGGCGCCGTTCGTGTAGACCTCTTGTATTACGTACGGTCCATCCCACTTTGATGTGAACTTGCTTTTTGTCTTGTGAGTTGTGATGATAGGCCTTCGTAATGCAAGGACGAGATCTCCAGTTTGGAAAGACCTTGGGCGGACCTTCTTGTTGAATGCCTTGGATAGCCGTGCTTGGTAGCATTCCAAGTGTTGTTGAGCTTCGAGCCTTCTTTCGTCGAGTGATTCCAACTCTTGAAGGCGCAACTTTGCATTCTCTTCATCAGTCAAGCCTTCTTGTATAGCCATCCTAAGTGAGGGGATTTGACTTTCTAGCGGTAAAACAGCTTCTACGCCATATACGAGAGAATAAGGGGTAGCTTGGGTAGGAGTCCTATGCGTTGTCCTATATGCCCAAAGTGCTTCGCTTATTCTTTCGTGCCAGTCTCTCTTTGTTCGGCCGATCACCTTCTTTAAGAGGTTGCACAATGTTTTGTTGAATGCTTCTGCGAGACCGTTGGCCGGAGCATGATACATGGAAGACTTGTGCTGCTTGAACTTGTATTTCTCACAGAGTTCGTCTACAAGTCGGTTGGAGAACTGTTTTCCATTGTCAGTGATAATGTACCGAGGCACACCATACCTGTGGATGATATGCTCTTTGATGAAGCGGACAACAGTTTCCTTTTTTACTTCCCTTAGGGGTATGGCTTCAGCCCACTTGGAGAAATAATCTGTTGCAGCTAGGATGTAAGCTTCTCCTGCAGACGACTTTGGAGTAATTGGTCCCACGACGTCCAATCCCCATGCATCGAATGGCCATGAAGCGGCTGTAGGGTGTAATGGTTCAGGTGGTTGATGTATGAAGTTGGCGTGGAATTGGCAAGCTTGGCACCTTTTGGCATGTTCCAGGCAATCCTTCACCATACTTGGCCAGTAGTAACCCATTCTCTTGAGCTGGAAATGTAGCTTTGGTCCAGATTGATGCGCCCCGCACACGCGCCTGAGTGTGCTTCTTCCATGGCTTGATTGGCTTCTTCCTCACCTAGGCATCTCAGAAGTACTCCTTCGAAAGAGCGCCGGTAGAGTGTTTCTTTGTAGTAGAGGAAGCGAGGTGCTCGTCGACGTATTTCAGAGCGGTGTCTCAGATCATTTGGAAGTTTTCCATACTCCAAGTAGTCAATCAATGGTTGTCTCCATTCTTCAACATCGACTGGAAGTACCGAGATGACATTTGTATCATCTAGTATCATTTCGGTGGCGAGGGGGATAACCCATCTTTGGCAAATTGGCACATCTGCAGCTTCGTCTTCCCTAGTGTCATACTCGAGGCTAGGTTGGCGAGAGCGTCTGCCATTTGATTTTCTTTTCTCGGCACGTGTTCTAGTGTTACGGCCTCGAACTTTTGTAGCAGCTGAGTTGCCAATCGGAAGTACGGAACGAGATCATCTTTCCTCACCTCATATTCAGTCAAGAGTTGACTAATTATGAGCTTAGAGTCGCCATATACCTCAAGGGTTGTGATTTCCATGTTGATCGCCATTTGAAGCCCGATGATTAGTGCCTGGTACTCAGCGACGTTGTTGGAGCACAATTCGCTTAGTTGGAATGAGTAAGGTAGTATTTGCCTTTGCGGTGACATGAATACTACTCCTGCCCCCGCTTCGTCTGCTCGTGCGGATCCGTCGAAAAAACATCGTCCATCTCGGAAATATGTCAATGTAGAATACCTCCTCGTCAGGCAAGTCGTCTGAGATTTTCCAATCGGCTGGGATTGGATGATCGGCAAGGAAGTCTGCTAATGCTTGTCCCTTGACGGCTTTAGCTGGGACGCAAATGATCTCGTATTGATTGAGAATCAACGCCCATTTAGCTAGTCGCCCTGTCAAGACTGGCTTGGACATGACATATTTAACCGGGTCAGCTTTAGCAACCAAGTGGATGGTGTAAGCATGCATGTAATGTCTGAGCTTCTGGATGGCAAAACACTAAGGCAAGGCACATTTTCTCTATTGGGGAGTAGTTCAACTCGGCGCCGGTGAGCGTTCGACTCAGGTAGTAAAGCGCTCCTTCTTTCTGGAATTCGTTTTCCTGGGCCAAGAGTGCTCCCACTGAACTTTCCTGAGCGGCGATGTATAATATGAGTGGTTTCCCGGGCACAGGCGCCCCCAGGACAGGTGGACTTGATAAATATTTTTTTATGCTTTCAAAAGCATTGTGGCACGCTTCGTCCCATATGAATGGAACATCCTTTTTCATGAGTCGACTAAACGGTTGACAACGCCCTGCAAGGTTGGAGATGAAGCGTCTGATGAAGGCTAGTCGTCCTTGTAGACTTTTCAGCTCGTGCAGGTTTCTTGGCTCGGGCATGTTTTGGATGGCCTTGATTTTTGATTGGTCCACTTCAATGCCACGGTGCTTGACAATGAAGCCGAGGAACTTTCCAGAGGTGACGCCAAACGCACACTTCAACGGGTTCATCTTGAGGTTGTACTTTCGCAGCCTTTTGAACACTACTCGCAAATCCTTCAAGTGATCTGATCTTTTCTTTGTTTTGACCACCACGTCGTCTACATAACATTCTACGTTTTTGTGTAGCATGTCATTGAAGATTTTCTGCATTGCTCGCTGATATGTGGCTCCAGCGTTCTTTAGACCAAAACGGCATGACCTTGTAGCAGTAGATACCTTTTGGAGTGCGGAATGCTGTTAGTTCCTCATCTTCGAGAGCCATACGAATTTGATTGTATCCAGAAGAGCCGTCCATAAATGACAGTGCCTCGTGGCCAGTGGTTGCGTCCACCATGATTTCGATGATCGGCAAGGGAAAGTCATCTTTCGGGCAAGCGTCATTGAGGTCCCGGAAGTCTACACAAACACGTATTTGTCCAGATTTCTTAAGGACGATGACGATGTTGGAGATCCACTTGGGGTATTGCACCTCTCGAATGAAGCCTGCTTCGATTAGCTTATCAATCTCTACCTCGATTTGTGGAATTAGCTCGGATCGATAGCGCCTTTGAGTTTGCTTTATCGGTCGCGTTCCAGGCTTAACTGCAAGATGATGTACAGCGATGACAGGGTCAAGGCCGGGCATTTCCTTGTAAGTCCAAGCAAAGACGTCTTTGTACTCTGATAACAGTTGGTAATACTCATCTACCTCGTCTGCACTTAGCAGCGCACTCACGAAGATAGGTTTCTGCTCATCTTTTGTGCCTAAGTTGAGCTCCTTGAGATCATCAACCGTGGATTGCCCCCCATCCTCAAGTTGCGGTGGCGCAGCAGCGACATCTTCTTCGGGGATCTCATCTTCTCCGCTTTCTTGGATCGTGATGTGGAAGACATCTTGGAATTCCTCTTCGGTGTCGTCCTCTTGGGCTGGTCGGCATGAAGATTGTCCAGTGTGGATGATGGTGCGCCTTTTTTACTTTCAGTGGTCCATTTTGTGTCCACCTCCAAGATTGCTTGGCGCTTCATCCTTGAAGGAATTGAGCTTCGAATATCACATTTTTTCTGCTATCATGTCGAGTTTTCCTTCCTTTGACATTGTCTTCCTATTTCTGGAAAACTTCTTGCTGTCTTCAAGTCTTTCCAAAGCTGACTGACGAGGAAGAGAGCTAGTCGTGTTGCTTTGCCTCTTAGGTTTTGACAACCTTTCAAAAACAGAGCTTTGGGATGCTGGCATGTTAAGTCTCTTGAAGACGGAGGTTCGGTTTTGACCACCAATGCGGTTAAGTGCTGACATTCTGGATCTTGAACGATTCATCCTATCGAAGACTGACGTCCAAGGGGTGGATTTAGGCTCATTATGATCTTGTTCAATACTCACGCTGATGTGTTGGGTGCTAGCATTTTCCGCTTTGCTTGAAATCTTCACGGGTGCATTTGGTGTGAAGCCTAGTCCAGCTTTGTTGTTATCAACTCCGTAACCGTGCTTCTTCAACTTCTTTTTGAGTCTCGGTGAGGTCACGTTCTTTATTGTTAATGGTGTTTGAAACCTTCTTTTCATGATTCGAAGAAGAAGCGAAGTCGTAGCCAGCTTTCGACATGAGTTTATAGGCGTTTGGATCAAAACCTTCTTCGGTCCTCTGGGTTGGGAGAAAGCTCGGTTCCACCCCCTTCGGTAGAGCTTTTATGAAGCCTTGTGGTAGTCTTGCGACCTTAGTGCCGCCTAGCTGTGTCAGAGGTAAAACTGCATTCGTCTTGAGCAACTTTACATTATCCATATGCCTCTGTGCATCGGCTTTGTTTGCTCCAGTTTCGAACGGAGATTGACCATTCTTTCTTCTCGACATCGGGATGTATCGGAAGACGGGTATGTTTGGTCCATTTGAGGGCATCCTACTCCCCTTTGTTGTTGCTCGTTTAGCCAGCTCATTATCGTTCTTGCTTGAAGACGGCGTAACTTCTTCTTCTTGCTTCTTGGGCATGGCTTGTCGCTCCTGCTTTTTAGGTGTTGCTTTGCCCGTGGATTTGATTTCTTTTGGAAGAGCTTCGGGTACCATGTCTTCATCCATGTAGAACTTGGCGTCTGCGAAATGTGATTCGGCTTCAGTGAATGGTTTGGTGTCGCCATAGATCACCTTCACTCCTTCTCGGTAGAATTTTAAGCATTGGTGAAGGGTGGACGGTACTACTCCATTCGCATGGATCCAAGGCCTTCCTAAGAGTAAGCCGTAGGAAGTTCTTGCATCAATCACGTGGAATATCGTGCTCGACTTGAGTTCACCAATAGTCATCTCCACTCGGATCATGCCCATCGCTCTTTGTCCTCCTTG